TTAATAATAATTCACTTTGTAGCATTGATCAAATAGTTCATCTTATATCGTAGAAGTCCACGCTTCCTAGCCATTCAATATAAATCCAAACATTCTGCAAGTATTCCCCAAAGGAGCAACACGCTTTCCACTCTAGAAAACAGCTGGATTTCCTCATACTCCGTACACAAGTTACCAAATAGGCTCGTACTTTATTCTAATTTGTTGAATAAATCATTTAAAAAACAGCTGAAATTCAGTAAACCAAACAAACTGTTTCGAGCATTTGGTTAATGGCAGCACAAAAATGTTAATTGAAAGATAGACTCACAAAAAAAACAGGCCGAAGCAGACGAACTAAATTTCCAAAATAAATATTCATACAAAGCGGTGAACGGGACGGGCGAAACAGCAGGTAAAAGGCACGGTCCGGTACGGTCCGACAGCCACTTGAAGGGAAAATCAGATAAACGAACTTTGAATTGAATTGAATTTAGTTGGAAGACGATAATGATGATGATGATGATGGTGGTCTCGAGAGTTTAGGAATTGAAATTATTATAATGCGTTACACATTGTGTAGGCAGGCCGAAACGAAATCTTGTAATCGGCAACCAAATCGGAGGAATATCTCTTTTGAACAGCGTTAAATTATGCATCACTTTTTCTCTGCGTGTTCCCCGCCTGAACATTTGAAATTCCTTATATTATTTTTCACTAATTAACAACAAAAAAATACAGAAATTTGTAGAGAGCACCCGCCGCACGCCCTTTAGAGTTTGTGTCCATCCGCTTACCGCCTGCTGCGTTTTGCATATGAAAATTGTTTAATAAATTAATTACTGCCAAAGATAAAATCGAAAAAGAGACAAGTAGCTGGATGCTCCACTCGTAAAACTACATCTTGGGTATGTCTTGATTGCAGGTTCAAGATATTAAAGTTGGTGGCAGGTTTTTACCTTTACTTGGAGGCTGTTCCATATCCCCATTTTGTGTGTGTTTCAGAAAGGGTATGTTGGAATATAAGGGAAGAATGTAATCGCTTTGAAAATGTTTACCTGGAAATGCACACTTTAAATAAAATACAACTATTTAGTGAATATTTAGAAAATTTGATGGAACCATTAACATTTTACACTAAAAATGTATTTCGAAAGTTCTGTTTCCTTTTATTTCTATAATTTTCTGTGATTCCCTTCAATGAACATTAAAATCCTTTAAATCTTATTCTTATGTTCCACATTGTATCTTTTTCTTCTGCTCCATAGATCATTCCCCAGTCGTCATTGTCCCTTCTTCAACTATTCAATTTGATCTTCTGATCTTTTTCTCTCCATCTCCTTGGCCCCCTTGGGCTCCTCGGTTCTTCGGCATCTCCCATATCTTCCCGCACCAAATCTAAATCAATGCAAATGATTTGATTAAATTGTTTTCTCTCTTTCGCTGCTGTTGTCTTCATTATGGGAACTACTTAGTGGGGGATATACGTATCCATGGCTTGGGTGCGTCATAAAACTCAGCATCAGCAGCAGCAGCCTGCTATTTTGTTGAGTATTTCTCTTTAGAATTCTATCTTTTTAATAGACAATCAGATGCAAACAGAAACACATACACTACCACTACCACTACCAGAGAGAGTATAGAGCAGCAGTGGCGCAGTGGCACTTGTTCTAAATTAATCTTCATTAGGGTCACTTAGACAATAACAAAAAGCATCGCTTTGGGGGTACGTACTGCGTGCTTACTACTACGAACAGTATGTTGCAAGCACTAGACTCTGCCCCAGCCACCCAACGCCTCCCTCCAAAGAATGGCGCAAAGTTTGATTGAATTTTCATTAAATTTTGCGCTGCGGTTGCCATAAATCAAATATTCCAGCTAGAGAGAATGTTGTCAACTTTTCACTTTTAATTAGTTTGGCAGTTGGGTGGAAAAAATATTTTTTAGGTCATGCCCCGACACACACAAACACAGGCAGCCATGCCCCCAGCTCGTGGCATGTGGCATAAATCACAAATTCACTTGCGCAAATATTTGGAGAACATTTTTCCACCTTCACCTGTGTGCTGCGAGGGTGACTAAAAGTTGCAAAAATATTATGTCATAGCCGCAGTGTACTGTACTGTGTACAGTGAAGCAGCAGAGAGAGTCCTGTGGCTTGAAGGCCTGCGGCTGCCTTTTGTTCCCTTTTCTTGTTGGTCGTAACAATTTTGCTGCATCATTTTGGGCGCTTTGACATGGCTGGAATTTCCTCAAACATTTGATCAATATTTAAAAGGGTTAAAAAACGGTTGTCAAAATTCGTTTAAAAATTTAATCAAATTCTTGGTAATCAAAGGGATTTCGGTCTCACGCCAAGGAACAAATTCCTTAAGAAATTTAAGAATTTAAACAGGGGAACAGCAACTGTTGCAAGTGCATGCCTCCGGGTGGCACAAACATGCTAAACAGGCGGGAGTTCTATCCTCCCGCCTGTCTTCCTGTCTCACTGCCGATTTTCCATTGCAGACATGTAAATTATGTTGGTTTTTGGTCAGTTTTCAGAGGGAATTCGCAGGCGGTGTCTGCTGGTCAGTACGGCAGACAGAAGAGTGCACGGGGTGTGGTATCCTCTGCACCACCTTTTCCGCATTTTTAGGGGGGAGTTCTTCTCCCTTTTGGGGGGGTTTGTTACTGCTGTCTGCTCTTCTCACTTTCTGTGGCGTCTCTTTGTCTCTTCTCGGGCTTTCTGCTTTGCGTAGTCTGTTTTTGTTTCTACTTAAAGCGTTTCTAATTTTTGGCATTCCTACTTCGGGTTATAAATCTATGTAACAGACAGAAGCAGTCACTCTCACACCTCACTCTGGATCTCCTTCCATGGCTCTCTCCCACTGAGATTTGTAATTGTTTTTTTTTTTTACTGTGTTAAATTTCATTTAAAATATGAAAACTCCCAGTGAGTTTTACTCACTACTACTCTAGTGATATCTTTATTCTTTATTTTCTGCAGTTTTATTTATTTCATTTCATATGTTCTCCACTGTGTCCAGCCCTAACTTAATCTATCTGAGCGTTTGGGGGAAATCATTTTTATTTCTAGACTAGTTTCTAATGGATTTTTGGTTTAGTTTAGTAATATAAAATATTTTTTTTTTCTAGAATAGTTTTTGGTATATTTTTATACCTGGTACTCGAAGAGTAAATAGCGTATATTGTATTTGTGCGAATTACGGTTGCATGTAACGCACAGAAGCAAGCGTTTCCGACCCCATAAAGTATATATATTCTCAGCATCAGCATCAATAGCCGATTGAGAGTCGATTGAGTCCGTCCGTTTGTCCGTCCGTCTTGCTGAGCGACTGGATCTCAGAGACCATACAAGCTAGAGCCACCAAATTTTGCATCCAGACTTCTGTATGTTGACACTGTTACAAGTGTATTTCAAAAATGAGCCCCGCCCCCTTCCGCCCACGCTAAAGGGCGAAAACCTCCCAAATCTACAATTTTGAAGATAAAAGAAAACTAAAAACGCCATTCCGTAGGGAATGGCCATATCTATCAGATCACCAAATTGGGATCCGATCGGATCATTATTATAGCCACAATGGAGAAATTAATTTCCAGTGGCTAAACCCACCCCGTCCCGCAGCTTTTGTTGCTCTTTTTACATTCTCTCACTCACACTCTGCTTCGGCCTCTGCCGCGAGTCTGCAGTGTGTGGGTCTACGGAAGGGGGGCGAGCTAAAGGAGCGTGTTGGTGTGAGAAGTGTTGTAGATAGCAGATGAAGAAAAAATGTAAAATTTGACAAAACACCGCTAAGGTGCAGATGTAGTACTGAGTGCCGGGTATAAAAGTTGTGACGCGTAAGAAGCGTCTCACACGTCCCTTCTTGTTGTCTTTTTATTTGGTGCAAAAAGCTTGCGATAAGCTTTTGGTCTTTACAATAATATGAATCATTATCTTGGTGTTGTTTAATCATAATTGACCCTTGGCATTCAGTCAGTCGTGAATTGAAAGAGCCATCGAAGAGACGTCGGTGCCCAGAAAATATTCAGAATTTAATTGAAGATGGAACCAAGCACCAAAGATGGCATTACCATCCGCATTATGACTCTGGCGGACTATGGGACCTTCAAGCACCTTTTCGAGGAACAGTTTATCAATGGCGAACCCCTCTTTGGTGCCATTAAGGGACCCATTGATCCCGAAATTTGGAATTTGTATGATCAATATCATGAATCCATGGTTAATGCCGGCACCTGTGTGGTGGCCATCGATGAGCAGAATGAAGGACGCGTTGTGGGCTTTGTGCTGGCCGAAGGACAGACCATTGATGATGTGGAAAATCATCGCCTAGAGGCGGAGAGCATACCGGAAACTGACATCGTAGGCCACATAAGGCGCATACTCTGCAAAGTGGAAGCTGAGGCGAATATCTACCAGCGATACGGCGTAACCAAACTGCTGTACTCCCACTTGACATCTGTCGATGTGTCGATGCGGGGCAAGGGATTGGGTACGCGCCTAGCCACTAGTGCCATGGAACTCGGACGATCTAAAGGCTTTACCCTGATGACAGCTTTCTGTTCGAGTTTTTATTCGGCGCGACAGAAGGAGGCATTGGGCATGGAGTGCATTTGTTCAATGAAATATGAGGACTACAAGGACTCAGAGGGTAAAGTGGTTTTTACACCACCAGCTCCTCATAAGGAGATACGAGTACTGGCCATGAAAATATAAGAGAACAAACCCCTCTGACAATATCCAGGAATTCAACAACAGCAATAAGAGAGTTGTAAAATAATATTTCCACGTTTATTAAAAGCATAAAATGTATAAATTGTGAAGTGTTTTAGTTTCTAGTTTCAGTCCAATCTACAATCCAAATAACTTGCTTTATTGTTAGTGGCTGTTATCAAGAATCTTTAGTGCATACGAACTCGTTATCGTATAACTAGCAAAATATTCTTATCATAATTTAGACCTCCCGAAGCACTTGAGTTTTGTTTTCTGCTACTTGAAGTCATTTGTGAATGGTAGGAGCAACCCTACAGGCGCGCCCGCATACAACATGCAAGAAACCACAAAAGATGGCATTACCATGCGCACCATGAACCTGGAGGACTATGAGAGCATCAGAAAGGTTTTTCAATGGTGAACCCCTCTTCGCTGCCATAGCTGGACCAATAGATCCAAAGAGATGGAAACGCCTCGATGAATATCACGAATCGTTGATTGTGGACGGTATGTGTGTCGTGGCCATCGATGAGGAGCAGAATGGACGCGTTGTGAGGTTTGTGCTGGCCGAAGGACAGTGTCCCGAAGATGTGGAGAAGCATCGCCAAGAAGCCGAAGGTAGTGGACACATCAAGCGTTTACTCTCCAAAGTGGAAGTCGAGGCTAACATCTTCGAGCGTTATGGATTGTCCAAATTGCTGTACTCCCACTTGACCTGTGTGGATGTTTCGATGAGGGGCAAGGGATTGGGTCAGCGTCTGGCTAACTGCGCCATGGATCTGGGCAGATCTAAGGGCTACCCACTGATGGCGGCTTTCTGTACGAGTTTTTATTCGGCGCGACAGAAGGAGGCATTGGGAATGGAGTGTATTTATTCCCTGAAGTATGAGGACTACAAGGATGCAGAGGGTAAAGTGGTATTTTTTCCACCAGAGCCTCATAAGGAGATACGAGTACTGGCCATAAAACTATAAACGATTCTCTCTACGACTTGCTTTAATTAGCAATAAAATGTAAAAGTAAATAGTGGATGATTATGTGGGGTAGAAGACTCACAGACGAATGCCTAAAGCTTGCCCAAAGCTTTCCCAATCGCTCGATCTCCCAGCTGATCCCAGCTGAAGGTCATTCTAGAACACACTCTCTTTCTCGCTCTCTCATTGGGGTAGTCCACACACAGAGCAGTGGGTCAAATGTGTGCCACGCCACCCCCAAAGTGGAGCCACAAACGCACACACTAACATGCAGCTGTTACGTAATCAACGCGCAACAAAAGCAAAGTCAATGTCGCAATGGGTAGTGGCTCGTGGGTGGGAGAACGCACATGTGTGTGTATCTTGTAGATACTTTTTCGCATGTATCGCATTGCCAGGGCATCGCATGTGGTTAGTGTTACGCGCCGCACCGCTCCGCCATTGGATTGGATTACAAACACAATAAAATAACAATTAGTCTTAGTGCGAGGCGAAGAAAAGTGGAGCAGCAAAACCAAAGTGAGGGCAAACCCCGAGTGTAATAGTTGAAGATGGAAACGGAAGATGAAGGAGGGAATGGAGAGAGCGGGTGGTCCCGTCAACACGAGCAAAAGTTTTTGGCTAATGTGTGGAGCGGGAGTAAGCGATGGAACTTTAAGAATTAAAGTCTGGGATGGAGCGAAAAATGTGTCTTATAATTCGCAGTTGGTGGGTGAAATATGTGGGAAACGTTTAAGGGCGGAAACATCATCCTGATTCGGTTAAAGACAGAACGGGCACAATATCGATTGAAGCAACCCAAAACCTACAGAAATGCATGTTTAGTTTAGTTTGAAGTATTGAAATTTAAGCGATTCAAATCGAAGATGGCAAAGGGCACAAATGTTGATTATCAGTTTTAAACAGTAGTTTTCCGCATGTATAAATTCCGTATGTATAAATATCAGAATTTGCATTAAATTGTTCTTGCTTTTAAGACTTGAAATATGTAATTTGCTTGCCACCTTCACATTTTCTCTTAGTACAAGAAAGCTTTCACGTACAACAATTCCGCAGAAAAGTAGAAAACACACAAAAATGTGGCCTAACTAAGCTTTATTTCCGTTCACAGTGCTTTCTAATATGTTAATTTGTGTATAAAATAAATGGGTGTTTACACTCTTTGGTACCCTGTGATCACTCGTTCTACACTAGTTCGTCAGAGCCGTATGCCCATGACACTGCCCGTTGTGTGCGGGGCAGGCGGTCGCAGAACCACTCTACCGTGATCATCTTTGTAGTCCGCGTAGATCTGCGAGTGTATGCACTCCATTTGCAGGGCAGACATGAGGCGCGTGGAGTTCTGATTGGTGCATGTGGAGACCATGGCAGGGAAGCCCTGTTGTCGACCCAAATCGATGAGAGCGGAGACCAAGCGAGAGCCCAGGCCCTGGCGACGCACCGAAGAGTCGACGCCAAGAATATACAAATACAGGGCTGTGTCCACGCCGTAGTGCTCAAAGTAATTGGCGCTCTTCTCAATGCCAGAGAGAAATTTGTGTATGTGATGCAGCAGACAGGTGGGTTCCAGCTGCTGTGCCTCCGCGAAGTGCTGCTCCACGTCCGCGGGCTTTTGGGCGCCTGCCAAAATGACGCCAACAATGCGATTTCCGTGCGCCTCATCGATGGCCACTAGGGAGAGGCCCTGCGGGATGAGCGACAAATGCAGCTCCGATTCGGAGGGTATGACTGCTGCTGCATCCTGATCCTCTTGCGGGGTGAGCATCAGGGGCTCCTCTTTGAAGAAATGCTGAGCGAGAAATGCCTCCACCGCGTTGTAGTCCTCCAATCGCATGACGCGTATGCTGATGAGCGCTGACATCTTTTCAAGTGCCTTCGCGCACACAAACTGAGAGAAATTTCACGCAATTTACTTGCTTTATACTTGACATGCCGATAATCAGAGAACAAAAATAGCGAGCGACAAAAATACACTCTCATTGCATACGGAGAACATTTTGCTCCGAGCTTTTGTTTTCCAAATGTGCGGCGTGGCGACCTTCCCCACACCACCAGAGCACCACCAGAGCACCACCCCCACTCAACCTAACGGCGTTGTTCTTATCAAGAAGCTTTATAAATATATATATTTTGTATATTGTATACGTACGACATTTGTTTGTTTTGTCTTGCTTGCTTTTTGTTTGCGGTTGATTGAGGTTGAATGACTCGCGGGCCGCCCCCCAGCGAACGAACATGTGCCCCGAGAACGTGAATAATTCTTACACTCAAGCTGAGGTTCAATTTTTGTGTTAAATTGAACTTTAAGCCACTTAAAGTTCACTCAATCCGGAATAAGGAAAGTGACTAAATGATCTCTAGCGAAAGTTGAGTCAAGTTTATGGAACCCAAACCTTATCTTTGTTGTGACTATACAGACTATACAGACAGGTGAGGGAGGTCCATTTTTAGAGCTGAGATAAGTTAAGACTATGAAACTTCATCTTGTCTTTTTTCTTTGCACAACAAAAATGTACTTCAAATTACGAGTCTGTTACTTTTAACGGCATCCCGTTTTTTTTTCGTCAGCTATTAAGATCCAGTTAGATCCAAACAAATCTGAATACTTTCGTTATAAGAATGAAGCGGAATTGCAACAGAGTTGGTTATTTAATTTAGTATTTTCTACAAGCTATAAGATATTATCGGGTCTTCTGAAGAGTTTGAGGTTTATTGGAATTGCAGAAAGATTGCTTAAAGTCCTAATTGGGGTCACGTCTTAATTTTAAGAAATTGTTTTTTATGACGGCATTGATTCTGTTTGATGGAATAAAAATCAATTAACACAAACAAAACACGAGTATAAAAATAACATCTATTAGAAATTCAAATTTTCATGTTTTGTCTGTTTGGAGGATTTGGAATTGGACAAAGTCAAAGTCATGAAATGTTTGGGATGGCTGTTAGCATTCAATGCTATTTTGCTGATGATTTTATAAATTAAAAATAAAGAGACTGCACTTGATTCTTACATCTGTACCTTTTGGGGAATTTAAACGCCTTTCCAATCTAATTTCATATAAAAACAATCAAAATAAAAACCCGCTTTAAACTCCGTTCAACAGTTAGCTCTGCCTTTTGTTTGTCTTTCAAATGACAAACAAACAAATTTTTAGCTAAAGTTGAACCGTAATTTGGAACAGGTTTAAGATGATTATAGAAAGAGAGGGAGAGAGAGAGTGAGTGAGGCTATCGCATCGCGTGATTCGATATGCAAAATGTCAGGTTGTCGGTTTCCCAGCAGAAGGTCGCCACCCAGCCTCTCACCCCACACAATACAGGCACCCTTGGTGGAATCCTTCATATAAATTATGAATCGCTTCGGTGCTTAACATGCAAAAATGCAATGCAAAATGCAGGTCATTAGTGCAATTTACACAACCACAACCCGACCCGCAAATGAAATCATAGCTTAGCCCTCGCACGCTGCCTAACCCTCTCTCCCTCCCCCTCTCACGCACACACACACACACTCTACAATCAGAGCTCCTGCACACTCGTTCACCCCCTCTGCTCGCACTCCATGCGTCACACTCGCACGCACTCATTAACCCTTTGTCGCCGTCTGTTGTAAGTTTTGCATCTACTTACCCTTGTCCCTTACCCTTCTCTAGTCATCAGCGGCGGCTACTTTGTTGTCTGCATTGTTTGTTGCCTTTCATTTGACCCCCGCTCTCTTCAACTTATTCGCTGATTTGCAGTTGTCTTGCCTCTCTCTTTGCACTCTCTTCAGTCTTCCCCCTTCCCAGCCATCGCAATGCTTATGCTTTCTGCGAAGCCTTCTCTGCTTGCTGCCTTCCTCCCTCCATCACTCGCTCTCTTAGCGGGTTAGTTAATGGCATTTTGTTCTCGTTTTAAAAAAATCCCATTTCTCTATATATTTTGCTTATGGTTTTTTATGGGAATTTAATTAGATTTAAAAGCCATAAACAAAATTCATTGAAGATCGGGATTTTGTGCTCTTACAGATACGTTTATGATTGTACTCTATTTTTAGAAGGGTATTTAGAAGGAGAATCTGCAATGCTGTAGGGTATGAAACAGTTAATATTTTAACTCGTTTTTTGTATTTTTGTTCAACTCTGGTAGTAAAAATTCTTTTCTCATTCTTAATCCCAAAGAGTATCTTCGCATTCGTCTACCAATAATTTCTAGTTTTCCCATTTTCCATGGTGCTTTTTCCGTGTGTTGCTCCCTTTGGGTAATTGTTTTTAAATTATTGGCATTTAATTTCATTTAATTGACGTCACTATCAATGCTTTAAATTGATGAAACTGAAACTCTCTGTGTGTGCCCTTCGCAAAGAAAACAAATTAAAGTTTATTGAAATCGATTTTCACTAAAGAAAATGGCAGCAGGACGAGGGGGTGATATTTGTTGCCATTTTTAGTAGTTGTTGCCAACGTTTCAAGTTTAATTTTCGATTTTTTCGATTTTTATTTTCGTGTTGATGACAACACACACACACACACACGAAGATCGTGGGAGAGGATTGGACTTACGTGACCCGCTTAACAAATTTGTGCGTGCTTCGAGCCACCCTGGCATTCCGCTTAACCCATGAAAACTCACCACTCCCAAGCACCAGCAAACCCACCGTTCAACCTCCTTTATAGTTATTGCAGTTTTATCTCCAGTTTCGAACCATTTCAAAAGTCACTTTTACCGATAGCTACTCGTACTCTGCGTACTGGCAGTACTCTCTCTTTCCTTAATTAAAAGCAAATGCGTTTAAGAGTTTGAATTTTATTTGTGGGAGTGGTTTAATGGCTGATGATGGGCATTTCCCACGCTCCCCAAGTTGACCAGTTGACCAGTTGACCAGTTGTCGGCACTCGCCACTCTATTGACGCTATGAATATTCAAAGAAATACTCGTACCCATTTCAAAGATAGATTTTCATGCCCATTTGTTTGCAGTTGGCGCTAAAATTGTCTATTTTGAATGCTCAAGCATTTTGGTAGTCAGTCACTTCATTTTCAAGGCTTTAATTAGCATCTTTTGGGGGTCTCTCCACGCTGCTGACTGCCTCCAACTAATGAGAGTTTCTTGTGTGTTCAAAATACCAGTGAATGATGGGCCTTAAGCCATATAATAACTTCATCAGCCCAAATAGCCACCAAAGTTGCTGTCGATAAAAGGTGTAAACTTGTTGGATTATGTGACAGATTTGAGCTTTTGTTATGGAGAGACTTTGGAGCAGTTGCTTGAGGATTATATGATGTAATCGATAGGTGGGGATTGAGATCGAATCTGCTTTGCTGTTAGGAGTAGGCACAAATCATCCATAGAATATGTGACGTTTTTGCTTGGATTCATGATAGTTTTCAGCTGTAGAACTGTTTGTGGCACATCTTTGAGTGGAAGAGATTTTCTTGGTATCTAAATAGTTTTCCATTGATTTCTCGTTTTGAGTGTTTTGTCACAAAATTGGGTTCTGTTTTGATCATATTAAGCATAATCACTATAAGTGCCTGTGCTCTACTTTCATTGATTGTCTCACCAAAAACACTTTTGCTAACTCCAATTTCCCGAACACTGCCACTCCTCCACTCTAGACTTCCCTACTTGCCACAGTTTTCATTACAACAAACCCCTCACGAATCAGTTGAAATTTGTACTTCATTTGTGCCTTAAAACTTTTCATTTAATCTACACCCGCACACTCCACACTCCACACTCCACACACCCCCACGCACACACAGACACTACCCATTGCCCAAATAAAGATAAACTTTTTCGGAAAATGCCCAATAAGTGGAAAACCGAAAAAGCGAGATACTTCGCCCACAGAACTTTGTTTGTGTATTTTTATTTTCACATAATTAAATTGACATTAGACATCGTTTAACTTTTAAATGCCGGTTAAAAAAAGGTCGGAAAATGTTACACTCTAAGCGGGAGGGGGGTCGAAAATTGGAGGGTATAATTCTTACCTGTTTTGGGTGGATGGATCCTTTCATTGGATGGTTATAATTGTGTTTAGACTGTTGCATATGGCGAGAGACCCCATCACGCCTCCTCCGCCCACACCTGTTCCTTCCACGCACACTCACACACAAACACACACACACACACACACACGCAGACCCACAAGCACGCGAGTGGTCGAAAACTGAATACGAGACGATCTACGATTTACGATTGACGATAACGGACAGGCGATGAGTGGCGATGGGCACGATGGGCACGATTGCCGTCGATGGGATTTGGGGAAGAAAATTGCGACGCCAATTGCGCGACACGTTACTCCAGCAAAAGTTTCGCAACGACTACTGGCCCGACAATTGGAGCTGCCTCAACGAGCGCCACAATGTCATCCACATGCCACACAGACACAAGGGGCAAGCAAAAACACACACACCATAAGGGGAGAGGGGAGAAATGGACGTAGAACATTTGCGATTTCCTCCTTGCTGCCTGACGTTTCCTGCTGGCTGCCGTGAAAGAGAGGCAGTACGAGAGCGAGGAGAGAGTTTTATCAATCCATCCTCGTGTGTGTGCACCTGTAAGAGGCGGCATTGAGTACCGTTAGCGCAACTCAACGAAGCCCAAGAGAGGCCTCCAGCAGCAGCAGCAGCAGCAGAGGTAGCAGCAGAGACTGGGAGAGCAGAATGCATGTGTGGATGGCATGTGGATCGTAACGGGAGAGAGCCTAATGAGAGAAATGCAGTTTCAGGTGGGGGAAACAGGTGAGCCCCGTCAGCTACACCTATGGAAGGAATTTTTGAAATATATTTTTTATATTCGTTCAATTTGTTTCCATGTTAAATGTATATTTCAATAATTTAAATATTTCTTTTATAATTTTGCATATTTTTTTGTTATATTTTCTGCTTCCGAATTGCCTGTTTATATTTCTGCTACCTGCCACATTAAATATTTAAAATTATTGATTTCATTTCTGGACGCTGCCACACCGCCTCCACAAACAAAACACACAGAACTTAACGTTATTTTGTATTTACTTCAAAGCGGCAGAAAAGAGAGGACAGTGGAAGAGAGCCGAGCGGCATAAACTCTCTTTGTGCTGTGTGTGGAATGCGTATAAGACGGAACGTTGTGGGAACTGGAACACACATTTGTGTTTGTTGTGCTGCTAAGAGAGTTTCAAATGAAGAGCTGGCAAATCGCAAAGAGAGCTAGCTGCCTGTTGATAAGCATTTACATTTACCGTACCCATAATATGGAACATAAGACATTACAGTGGGGGGCTGCCACTCCGAGCGGGTTTGCCTGCAACGTACAAACTGTTGTAGGCAGTTTGGTAGGTATATTGTCATATTCTTAGGAGACTTTAAAGAAATTATATGAATTGTATGGGATAAATCGAATGCAAATGCAGTAAAGTTAGTCATTGGTCATTAGTTTTCTATGACCATTTCCCCAAACGCGCGATCCACAGTCAAGACTCTTTCAACACAGACGACACTTTCCCCCCACAGCACACCCCAACACACGCACCCTTCCACCTTGCCGCACCATCCAACCATCCAACCACCCTACCATCCATCTAGCCAACAGGTTCCAAAATGTTCATTTCCAATTAGGGCCAACTGTGACCGTCTCGTCTCTGCTGTGGTCCCACAGCAGACTTCCCCCAGTCTGAGCCAGAGCCCAGCCAGCAGACAGCCAAAACAACCCATAGATAACTGAACAGCATAGTTAATCCCCTCGATGTCGTTGCCAAACATTCAATCAAATTCTGTCAAAAGTTGCAGCGCCAAAAAGCTTAGCGCAACTTTCAAAAAAACAACAAAATTTCTTTAAAAAAAGACAACAAAAAACAAAAGTAATGTCCAAACAAAAACAAGAAAATGCATATCAAATTGTTGACTTAATAAACGACGAGGGGTGGTGAGGGTGAAATGAGAGATAGACAGATTGCTGGTGGATGGGGGGTCATAGGTTTCTTATCAATTTGAGAAGTTTTTTCCTCGTGTTTACTTATTTTTTCTTGTTTTTTTTTTTTTTTTTGGGTATTTTGTCACTTGGGATTTGGAAAGATTGTTCGGGTTTTTGTTTTTATTTTGCACCTCTTTGGCGCACACTTTTTGGGGAACGATTTAATGTCTGCAAAGTTTTTCCCAACTGTTGATATCAGTTTGGGGATTTTGAAATCGAAGAGGCTGCAAGAACTTTTTGCAACAGCCGCAGGAGGATTAAGTCAGGGTTTATCAGTGGCATATTTGGGAATATTTTAAGGGGAGAGGAGCACTTTTTGATTATTCAAATAATGGTTTTCGTGTTACATTTGCATTTTTTACAGAACATTTCATTTCTGTTTGGAAATAATTATCTCTCTGATGAATTTGTGAGCATATCCAGCCACTTTCTATGTATTCCTTGCGATTCAGGCCGTCTGGCGAGCTTTAATTGTCTTAGGATGTCTACAAATAAGGCCAAGAAGGTTAGCAGCAAATCCCGAACGTTAGCGAGGAGTTTGTCGAGAGGTAAGCGACCTTGGTGTTGGGTTTAAGGATAACCCTGGAATAGAACCAGAGTTCTCTCTGGTCATCTCAAAGAGGGACAGCCAAAGCAATTAGACAAAATGATTTGTGAAATGAGAGAAACGAAGGCGACACCTTGCCACCTGGCACCTCTTAGGGGCAGACAGACAGGCAGAGGGACCGAGACAGGGTCCATGACATGACACAAAATCCAAGCGTAGGCCACATCAAAGGCAGAGACGGCTGGGCAGAGGCATGTTGCATGAGGTAGGTGGCAAGTAGAAATATTGGAAAAAAGAATTGAAAAGGCAAAAGAAAAATAAAGAGAATGAAATCTGTGTGTGTGGGTTGCAGGTTTCTTTTCGTTCTTAAAGTCAAGACATCATAGTGATTTTCTCTGACATTTATGAAGAAGCAGAAGCTGAAAAAGTGTTGGAAAATCAATAGGGAAAAAGGCAAGAGCAAAAGCAATACAGCAGAGAGAGAGTGGAAAACCCGAGCTGAAAAACGCCGCCGTGTGACGGGGCAAAACTATTTTACACCTGAACTGTCTGACCTGTCAAAAGTGAAGGCCGGGCAAAGCGGCCGGCAGCAGGCAGGCGAGTGGGAAAAAAGGTTTGAAAAAACAAATAGAAAATCGCTTAAAGAAAGTAGAGAGAGGGCGGGCACCCGGAAAAGTACAATGCGGGAGTAATGAAGATATTTGAGAGGGGTAGGGAGAGTGTGGGGTATCTCTCTCTGACAGCCATGACAGTCATAATAAGGCAGGGCCTGTCATAAGCTGTTGAGAGTCGATTGAAAAGGTCGAAGACAATGCCTGAAATTCGCCACCAAAGCTCCCCATCCCACTGCACTCCTTGGCTTGTGGCACCTCTGGGCAAAAGTTTTCACCACATTGCACCTGAGCGGCAGCAGCGTCACTCGAGAGAGAGGGTCAGGCAGTCAGGCAGTCAGGCAGTCAGGCTTTGGGGCACAAGTTATAGCCAAACTATGCAAAAATTGCCATCAATATTTCAATCAAAACTGACGCAGTCTTCTGTCTGGCTGTTTGCCTGAGCTGGTTTTTGCCTTGAGCGAAAACGGAAATCTATATCGAGGGGAGGGTCTAAATGTTCTCTGGGGAATGCTTAGTGCGATTTTGAGATTTGGTTTATATAAAAGAAAGAGCGATGGATAAGCAATTGTTTAATCAAATTTGCCATTAAATATCCATATCTCAATATTTGTTGGATAAATGGGACAATACATAATTATGATATATTTTTCGATTTCTTTTTGAAACTTCATTAAAAAAATAAAAAAATAAATATTTGTTGTGTTTTTATTTTGTAATGTTTCTAATTTTGTTGTAATTTGTTGTGAAACTTATGTGGAAGACACGAATGGAAATTAAAATATTCCGCCGATAGCCACTCTCAACTTTTTCTCCCACTTCTGCGCTTCAACAGCTTCAACAGCATTCTCCCCACGCAACCCTCGTTCAATCTAGTGTAGGTTGCCCCCTTAAAGACCCTACCATGCACACCTTACCCCTCTGTGCCACCTGCCACACAGAACAGCACAGTGCAAAAAAAAAAGGTTAGAGAGAAATAACCGGAGTGCCGAGAACCCGACAACAACAACAACAACAGAGTTGCCAACTTGTCAGCTGACAGGCAGCGGCAGCGGCAGCGGCAGGGTAGGCGCCAAGTCTTAGGGACCAGAGCTGACACCCCCCACCACAACACACGTCCTACCGCCCTGCATGTCAAGCAGGTGAAAAAAAAATGGTTGAAGGGAGTGCGAAGTGGAGAGAGAGAGAGAGGCAAATTCAAAGGCTGCCAATTGCCAATTGAAGCCGTAAAGTATGCTAAGCAATTTGCGTCGTGTGTGCTGGTCGGAAAGGGGTGTGGCGTGGGCGTGGCAATGGGTAGGGTTACATATGGACATATGCATGTGTGTGTGTGTGTGTGCGGTGTGCGTGTGATATTTATTGTTGTTTTTTGCCAAATTGTCGGAAAGGAAACGAATGGAAGAAGTTCCAGTTTGAAGTCAGAGAAAGCAACCCAGCGAGCACCTGTCCGTGCCGGCTGTTCTCCTGTTGCCCCATCCCTACCAACACCTTTCCCCATTCCTCTCCCAACAGCCTGCACCCCTTGACGCCTGTCGAGTGGACCCTTCATAAGTCGAACCAACTGCAGTGTGATTTTGATTTTGGGGGCGACTTCGTTTACAGCGACTTTTGAGCCCGATGGATGAGGCGTAACAATTTTCGTCAATGCCACCTACCGCCTTCTGTCTTTCAGTCTTGGGTTTTGGAGGCACAATGAGTTTTGAGCTTTGAGATGATTATTGTGTGGAATGATATAAGGAAGGGGGGGGAAAGGGTGTAACTCTAAAGAGGTTTTTGAATTGCATTTTAGAGAGAACTTGGTATGAAATATGATTTGAGAGGGTTTCTGTGTGGGAATTGAAACGGTTTTCCTCGTTAAGAACAATCAAAAATCACTAGGACCCTCAGATCCTTTGGTATTTTCGCATTGAATCGTATCCTTAACTAAAAAATGAGCAACTCGTTTTGGGCTTAAAGATATTCACTAGAAATTGTTTATTCTATTTTGTATGATTTAAACGAAAGAATAGGCTTTTCCACGAAAATCGTCTGAAGAACTTCCTTTTACAGGGTATTTTGTAACCCCAGCTCTGGCATATTAATTCCTCCTTGCAGAAATACACAAATTTTTGTTGTATGTATTGCCATTTCCGGCAGGCGGACGTCCAGTCGTCACAAAGCTAATCAAAATGTCCAACACACACACTCGCCCACACAC